TTTAGCAAATAGTCTTGATTGGGTAGCCTGCACAGACCAAGATGGTGAGCACAGACTGACTTTAAGGCACAGTTCTCAGTTCTTATTATAACCTGTCATATTTTTTATACTCAATCTGAAATGAGTTTCCAATTATCCGTATTGGTAAGTTTAAAATATAGAGAACTGTGATCACAGCTGCGTTGTCACGTTCTGGTTGATGCTGTTATTTTGCACATGTAGCCGCCTTGGCCTGAAGGTCTGTGATGTTTTTATGGGGGATTAGAGCATGTTGTCACGTGTCCACTGATATAATTTAGTAACTCAAAACAACATGCATTTTACTTTAGCCACGTGACTTTATTGGTGGCACAGCCAAAGCAAAAGCAGCATTGTAGCGCAACTATTGATATTCTGTGAGTTGTTATTTGTCTGAATCTCTGTAGAAATATCCGAAAATGAGCAGGAACGACACAGGCAAGTTCGGAAAAGACGCTCTTCTCTTTAGAAAATACACTATTCCTGTTCACAGTCTTTAACTGTTTTGGTCTTCTTAAGTCAAAATCCAGCTCAGGATCAGAACCCTGTAATTGCAAAAGAGCTTTAGCGGGCCTGCTAAACATTGTCTTGTGCTGGGATCACTTTTAACAATAAGGTAATAAAGTTGAGCCGTAACTGTTTGCTTCGCAACATTGTCCAAAAGAAGCAGCTGACTTTGCAGCAGATTTAAAATTCAGATGGAAAGGGTCTGTTATACAATTATAATAATTGCATCATTAAATTATTCCTTCTAAAATATATTATACTTAACACATTTTAACCTTATTATATATATACAGCTCTGTAAAAAAAATTAAGAGGTCACTTAAAATGATCAGTTTCTCTGATTTTACTTTTTGTAGGTATATGTTTGAGTAACAAACATGTGTTGAACTATCGACAACATGTCTCCGAAACTGCAAGCAAAAGTTTAGTATTTATTTGCGGAATAAATACTAAACTTATTTAGTATTTATTCTAAATAAGTTTAGAATTTTGACCTTATTATGAGAAATGGCCAAAATAAGGAAAAAGATGCAGTGCTCTCAGACCTCAAATAATGCAAAGAAAACAAGTTCATATTCATTTAGAAACAACAAAACTAATGTTTTAACTCAGGAAGAGTTCAGAGATCAATATTTGGTGGAATAACCAGGTGGTTTTCAGTGGGGTTCATTGCAGTGGGCTCTTAGTTTTTCGCAGAGCTGTACATGTTTCATTCTGTGTTTGTGTGCACCACTGGGTTTCCTTTACTTCTTGGTAAGAAGAATTTAATTGTTGGTTCTTGTTTGTTTGTTTGTTTGTTTTTATGTGTTTAGAGCAAGAAGGGCCAGGAGCTGCCCAAGGGTTCAGAAGCAGAGGTATTAAAGATGGACAGGCTGCTCGCCCTGCTGAGAGAACCAGAGCTAGACTGAAGTCACCCCGACTCCGCTTCAATTCAGCCAATGTGGCTTCTCATATGGTGGGTTTTTTTTTTTTTTTTTATCTGTTTGCAGCAAATAAAATGAACATGTTGCAATCTGTGTATTTGACCAAATGTTCTCTTAAAGTCTTACTTGATGAAATTGAAATGAGAGCTGGGCAGCTTTCTGAATGCCCCAAATTCCTTTTTTTTTTCTTTTTTTTTTGCTGTTGATATATTTTTTTTTTCTTTCAATACTTCTGATATATTGAGTAGACACAAGTACCCTCAGTGAAAGTTGCAAGAGGAATGCTTGTCACTGTGTTAAGTTGTGTTCAGTTTTATCACCTGGATTTTCTGGGAACTGAGGACAGTTATTGTTGCTGTTCTGCAAAAGGATTCCTGTCTCGTTTGAACATGATTTCAGATGCGTAGCGTTTCTCAAGAAGAAGACCGATTTGCATCTGAGACGTCTGGGAAACAACCTTGTTGTAAGTCATTTAGAGTCCTGCAAATGTCCATGCAACCTTAACTCCACAAGGAAACATTGACATGTCGGAAATGTTATTGTGTGCTTCTTTATTACTCGTCTCTTCACAAGTTATGTAAGCAATATTGACACTGACGCATCTCCATAAAATGTGTTTTTTGTTGGGGTTTTTTTTTTGTTGTTGTTTTTTGCCATGAAAAGCTGAGACATGTTTTTGTTTCATACAGAAAATGTCAAAAAAAGGCAGAGTTCAACTGATTTGAGTCATTTGTTGTTTTTCTTGATATTTGCTTAACTGATCCTTCAGTCTGTCTTACCTGAAAATGCTGCATGTGTTTTCATGTAATTTGTTGACAATGAACATATTAAAACTGTTTAACAAAACAGACTGGATTGAGTAGATTTCAGAGTTGATATGAATCTCTAATTGCGTTGGGATTAGAGTTGTTCCAACTCCTTTTCCAGTTTTTTTTTTTTTATTTGCATTTTACAGGCTTTGCTTCATTCTGCTGCTTCTGGCTGTTACTTAAATTTCAGAGACCTCTGACTGACGACTGTAGCTGTATGACATGTATGAGTCTTATTATGGTCTTAACATCCTGCTGCTCCTCACTGCTGCTACCCTGGACAGCAGTGATGATTCTCCACAGTAACATGTCCTGAGCTGGATAACACCATCGGTTGTTTTCAAGCACTGCTAATCCACCTCATTTGCTTTTTGCTGCTTCTTTATAAATGTCTGTGTGGTTAGAAAGCTGGACATAGAGACATTGGACTCTGGGATATGATCATGGCCCATTATGATCAATGGAAGAGATGGTTTGAACTTCCTCTTTCTCTCTCTGCTCTTTGGTTCTGCTATTCATCCACGAAGCTTCCTTTTCAACTCCTCTGAGCTTCGGGGTCGTAGTTAAGGTATTATTTGAGCTTTTAGAGAAGCTAATTAGCTGCTCCCAGTTGTTAAAAAAAAAAAAAACTCTTGTTGCCTCGGTTACATGTGATAATTGTCTGAAAGTATAAAAGTAAGAACAAAATCCTTCCAGCGGCACAGCATCAAAAATCAGAGGAAATAATGCTCCAATCATTCAATGACAAAAAAAAAAAAAAAATGAACTAAAGTCAACAAAAACAACAAATCTGAACTAGTGTAACAAAGTTACTTGAACATGCTGCCACAATCAGCGCCTCTATTCTAGAATCTCTTCTAAGAATATCTTTTCTTGAGCACCACACTGTTTTCTGTCTTCTCCGGTCCAACAGAGCACCTTGGATGTACACAAATCTGCAGCAAATGCTTGACACTGACATGTACTAAGATATATCAGTGTAAAAAAAAAATCACTTATACATGTTGGAAACAGTACAACCAGGCTGCAGGGGAGTCATTGTTTCATACAATAATAATCCACTAAATAAAGGAAGGCGGAGCGTTGTAAGACATACAGCGACGTAGAAGATTGCGTTATTCGTGGAGCAGAGCCAGACAGCTTATCTTGGCTCATACACGCCGTCTTGGGCACCGGTCCAGAGACGATCTGGAAGCTTTTTATATTCTCCAGTCTGCAGGGAGGAAACATCTTGCTTTGAAACATCTTTATTTTGTCTATCTCGTAATTCTTCCCCGTCTTCACAATCTGATCGTTCAGTGAAGTTGCACCCAGGAGCTCTGATGTTTCCACGGTGATCCGAACTCCCTCAGCTTTTCTCTGCCACCGGGAGCCTTTCTGCCCTTCATGTCCTCCAGCATGATTCATTCATTAACAGGTCCACAAGTTTAGAATAAGATGCTCGCTTTTGTCTTCTTCTTGCAGATACTTGGCAGAAATGTGAACGAAGCTGCTGTTATTAATTCACGCCAGTTTTGTCAATGAGAAGCATATGCTGGATGCTTATTAAAAGAACTAAAACTGCATGAATCACATTGAAGAGATCGTTCAAGTCCTTGGAGAGAGTTCTGTGTAAATGTTACAGTCACTTAAAATCTTATTTGCACTCTAACGCTCTGTCAAGTTTGCATTGGGCGATTATTTTGCAGGCGCCAATGATTATTTATGTTGGGAATAGGAGCTGGTGCACTACCAGAAATCTTCCTATTCTGAGAACAGAACATGTGAAGCATTTCCAGTCAGAGTGTTTGGTATAAAAATAGTTTGTTGTTTTTTTTTGTTTTTTTTTGTACTATCAGGTGGTTACTGAGTGGAAATGCTTTGCATAAGGAGAGCCCAAAGTGCGATTCAAGAGCCACTGGTGGTTCTCTGGATGATTTTGTGTAGCCCCCAGCTGCTAGTTCAAGTATGACATAAATTTGGCCTGCCAGCACAGGACGCTTATGCAAATGGACTTTTTTTTTTTTGTTTGTCGTTATTCTTTGGGACGATATTTTCACTGATGTGAATGCGTTCAAAAAGAGGAAAGTAAATATAGGGAAACTAATACCCTCTTGAAGTGGAAACACAAAGTATCAATTTTATATCGACTTTTTGTCATAATTTTCACAATAAAGAGGACTACAAATATTTACTGGGTAGAGCGAAGACTTATTGCATACAGAGACTGCAGGGCAATAGCAGATCTACCAGAGTGGCTTTGGATGGAAATTGTAAGGCCCCCTTTCGAAGAACCACTATTGCTCAAAGTGCTCTGTCGGTGAGAGGATCTGCAGTTTGGAACTCACTTCCTGTTCATTTAAAGCCTGTAACCAGTTTTAGTACATTCAAAAATCAAACAAAACTCTAGTTATGTCAAAAACAGAACTGTCCCCATTTTTGATGTTTTACATTTTTCTGTTTGTATACATTATGTTGTGCTATTTTAAATCACTTCAATTTTTAGAGTTACTTTTTAAAAGCCCATCTAGGAACAAGTGCTGCGAATTAGCTGTTGCTATTGCACCATGATGCAAACATGGGATGATGTTTTATTCAGTTTGTCTATGTCGATGTGTGTCTGTCCCTATGAAATACACCTTGTAATAATAATCCAGAGTTTCGACTCTTCAATGCTTAACTATCTCTATATGATTATTTTGGGGAATACTTCAATTTTAGAAAAATAAAAAATAAGAAAAAAGAAAGTCAGACAGCATTTCAATCAGTTTATTTTTAATAGGTGCAGCCTTGATATCAGGAAAGTCTCCAGAGGATTGGTTCATATTATAGTCTTTAAACGGTGCTACATGCTTTGTTACATGGAAAGTTACAGGAAACAGGATGAAGTGTGCACGTGTTGCGGGGTGAATATATTCGCCGCAGTGCAGGAAACATCGACCAAGTCCCTCTGGCCTCTTCCAATCATTTCCTCTGTGACTCAGTCCAGGATGAGTGGCCCATCGTTGAAGCCAGAAGCAGATGTCAGAGCGAAGGACGCGTTGAAGTAAATCTCTCCTGTTCTGATCAAATTTCACCCGGGATTGTTTGGACGACAACGACATGCACACGTTGCACATGATCTCTCATTATGTCTCGTTGTTCGCCAGAGACCATCTTTCTGTTTCTCCCCAGCCACACCTTGAGATTAGAGAACATGTTTTGGAAACTAACCTTTCCCCACAAACCCCTTGCGGTTTGTGGCAGTGCTTATGTTTTGTACGATGACATCGTCGTTCTGTGATGAGCTCTGTCACACCAAGGACCAGATTTTGTTGAGGTGAACGCATCAGTCTGCCTTTCCCCTTTCGCACTCAGTCCTCGCACGTCTTCAAGCGGCGCTGCCGCGGAGGCAGGCGTCGAGTCTCTCACTTGTGGTTACGTTTGACTCATCGTTCTGCAGTCAAGAGGTCAACAGGTACTTGTGCTTGTTCAGCTGCTGGGCTTCTGCTTCGCTCGGCGCCAACACGGGCAGCCTCTCTGGGCTGGACGGGACGCCGCAGGCTCGGTAAACAATCAGGCAGAGCAGGAGGAGGAGGACGGCAACCAGCGTGTTGCAGGCGATGGCCACCAAGGCGGCTGTGGATAAGCCTGTGGAGTTTTCCACGGCGTCCATGACGAGCGCTCAACTACTGAGATTCGGTTAGAAAAAGTTTAATCTGCACGATGGTATATTAGGTCCAACATGAATAAGGCATGTAACATACCCGTTTGTCATCGTTAATATTACTTTATACGCATTTATCTTGCATATAAAAAACCTGATGTTTAGTCTTTATGCATATATAAAGTGAGTTATTAAAAAAAAACAGAAACAGTCTCGTGATTAGCTCCGCAGACTTGGCACAACATTTAGACGAAGCAACATTTGAGAGAGTTTGCCTGCATGGGAACGCTGGCTCCGGTTCTCTCTGCAGCTCCGTTAAGGCGACGCTTAACGAGTCAGGAGAAATTAGCCCTGCTGCCCTCTGAGGGTTGAACAACAGGCGGCACAGAAAGCACTCCGGTACATTTCATGAAATGCAGTCAGCATCTGTGAAAGAGAAACAAACGGAACAATGAACATAGATTATTCCAATAGATATTCTAAAAAGCCAGTGGTCATTTTCAGTCACGATTAATTTGTCGATATTTATACAATCACGTCCCGTCACTGAATCTGAACGATGTATGCATCAATAGGTGCTGTAGCTTCTACTCTCTTTGTTTTTGTACAGTCAATTTGTTTGTACAAAACAATTTTATCAACATTCGCTTGTCATTTCTTCAAAGAAATGTCACACTTTTTATTTCATAATTATTCCCCACAGGACTATAGGGGTTTCGCTTTTTGTTGCAGCTGAGTGCTTCAAATTTATTGTTAATAATGATCATTTTTTTGTAACATGTGAAACAAGTTATTCAAACAAAACCTGCCCCTGTGGGAAAAGTAACTACATTTCAAGTCAGTAAGGTTTTGAATGGTCTAATCAAAGCCCAGAAACACTCCAGTGTAGCTGAATTGAAAATATTTTGCACAACAGTGCCCCATAATTCCTGGACAGCAATGTAAAAGACTCAGTAATGACAGCTGTTAGGTTAGCCAGTTATTAGCTGTAGGGACAGTTACTTTATAACCAGGTCAGGTTGGTTAGGATGGCTTCTTTTTTTACTTTATAAATAAAATCCTCATTTGAAAACTGCATTTTCTATTTGAGTCATTTTTGTGCGATATTAGAATTAGTTAGATGGGCTAAAGAATAGAATAACAAAAAAGTAAAAAAAAAAATTCACAGCTCTTAATTTCTTTATTTTACTTCAGGATCATTAGACAAAAGAAAAGGTTCCTCCTTTTTTCAACCATATTTTTTAAAACTGAAAATAATTATGAGAAGTAGTAATGGTCTGTCTGATTGTTGAAAGTACATTTTATTCATATATCACAAGAAGGGTGAAAACCACAAAGTGTTTCACGGTTACATCAAAATGACAAAAAAGTGTAAAAAATAAAATGAACAATGTAAATACAACTCTGCAGCCCTTTTTTTGTTCAATTAAGATCTTGTCTAAGTGTCTCCAGCTGCTTTTTGAAAAAATGTAGCGAGTCAATTCAGGATATGGAAGGTTGCAGAGTAGAGATTGAATGTGAATGAAGTTCAATTGATTTTTCTTTTTACGACCTCTAGATAGATTTTCCTCCAAGTTACATAAGTATAACCCTCGCAAATCATCATTCCATTCCAGAAAAAAAAAAAAACTGGTCTTGATGGTTACCCAGTGCTATAGATGGTTCACAGGTAATTTAAATTATGAAAACCCAGTGAGCCCCTGCAGAGCCGCTGTTGGGTTGCTGCAATCACATCAGTAGTCGCACGTCAACTTCTGTATTTTCACCCGCATATGTTTGCATGTTCAACAAAGCAACTTGATGTGTCTCTCTTTGAGGCTGTGGGTTATTATCAATGATGGAAAGCTTTAAGAGATGGCCTGATATTATTTGATTCACAGTGCAACAGAACTTTATTTGTCTTAAAAGTCCATATGAACATCCTGACACTGTAAGAAAACGCTTCACATATTGGACTTGTGATGCACTGAGACACAGTCAGGTCAACTTTACAAATATGAGTCACAAACTGGATTTAAGTTCTTATAAAATGGATAAAATGAAGACAGATAAAGTGGCTATACTTTATTTAAATGTTTGATTCATTTTGTGCAATGTAAGCAATCAGGACCATCATTGTTCTAAAGTAAATAAATCACTCTACTAGGCACCTTATACGATGATTTCTGTTGAAAACTTGGACCGAGAAAAAATTGTCAAATAGTTTGACGATTTTTTTTTTGAACGGCTTTTGCAAATGACACATTTCTGTTGGTGACTTTTAGAGTAAGTTCATCTTGACGTTGCGGTGCTTAATCGGCAAAGGAAGCGTTGTCCCTCCTGGTTGGAGGTCAGGCTGTGCCTCAAGAGGAGACGGAGACAGACACGCGTGTTGTGACGAGACTTAGAGGTTCTGGAAAACGCTCCATCATCTGGGGGAGCTCGGAGTTGAGCCGCTGCTCCTCCGCATCGAAAGGGATCCGTCTAAGTGTTCCCTTCGTTAAAATGCAACAGTTTGTTCTTCGAGTATCCGAAACAAGAGTGCCTCGTCATTACTCAGATGACGATTTGGAAAGTCCTTCTTTAGATTTCTGTTCCAAGCGGATTACAGAAACATCTCCAGTTAGCTGATTCTTAATATTTTATGATTCTCCCTGATGGCTGATGTGTAAATTGAGAGGCCTTTTGAGTTACCTCCTCAACAATCGGTCTTTGAAAACAACTAACGCCACCGAGGACGTCAGCACTTCCGATTTTGTTTAATCACACACGGGCTACTTTCTAATCCGTTTAAGTATCTCTCACCGACAGAGTCAGCCTCCAGTCCCGTTCTGTTAGAGAAATAATACTCCCGCGGTCTCCTACCGTCTGCGCCTTTTCACGTGGAGAGCAGTTCCGTCTTCAGCTGCCTGTCGTCCTCTTCCTCCTCTCTCATCTCTGCCGCTTCCTTTGCTTCCCCATCTGCTCCGATGCACTGCACACATGACGAAGCAGGACCACACACTGGCAGTGCGAGAGCTTTCCAATAAACAAGGATGCAGCGAGACGGACAGAGAGAGAGAGAGAGAGAGAGAGAGAGAGAGGCAGAGGAGGGGGCTGTGCAAGTGGATGTCAGCGGTGATATCAACCGTAGGGGAGAGGAGAACGCTATGGATGTAATTACACAGGTCTCCTGCTGCAAGACAGGAGGAAGAGATGCGGAGGCTGTTATGATGGAAAACAAGCAACGCTGGTTGGCAGATGAAACAATAACTCTTGCCTCGCTCGGCAGCGTGAACGTAAAGGGTTTATTTTAGACGTCTGGCTCCTAGAGAACAGACGGAAATTACAACGCGCAGCTACGGGAAAGAGCACAGCTGAAGTCTCTGTTAATGTAGCTGTATCAGTTTACAGCAGGTCTATTATCGTAATGAGAATATCGGAGTAATTGGAAAGTTTGTCCAAGTATTATGGTTGTTGTTTTCTTTTTATTATTATTATTATTATTATTATTATTATTATTATTATTATTATTATTATTATTATTATTATTATTATGTGCTCTTGCCCCACCCTGTCTGCTTACAATAAATGTACATTTCAAAAAAGAAAAATCTTCCACTCTACATTTTGTATCATTTTGAGTAAAGTTGTATTGTCGGGTTTTTTTTGTTTGTTTTTTTTGGCATGTTTGAACAAAAACAGCTCTTAGACCGTCAGGTTAGGTCATTAGGCCTGTTCTGTAGCTGCAGAGTCACCAATGCAAGGTTAAGTAGCAAATCCCTCTGAGATTATTCATATTTAAACCACAAACATCACATTCCTTTGACCAGATTGTGAGCTAGAAGGAAAGGAATTTTTTTTTTTTCTAGATTTATTTATTTACAAATAAAGCAATAAAAGAAGATAGATAACCTCATTTACTCTGATATCCCCAAAATAAATGTTGCTCAATCAACGTCAGCATAAATACAGCTGCCTCCAGCAGACAGGCCTGGGAGAAGGTTCAGGACGTCTCTTGGAGCTCTGTTTGAACCGTCATCCCAAAATACACGTTTTCAGTATTTTGTGGGTGGCAATACTGAGCCCTTTAATACAATCATGATGGAAAAGTTAATTAGCGCCGCATTCAAAAGTAGAACAGACTGTGTACCCAAAAGAACTCCAAGAAGAGAGGAATAAATGGCCTTTTCAGGCAATGTCTCTGTTCTGAGGGTAATTAAAGCAATCACTCTTGAAATCTCTCTTGGGATATTTTAATGAAAAGTATTTTAGGTGTTTTTCAAATAGGCAACAATTAGTCTGAACTCAGAGTCCAGCTCTCTGAGGAAATAAAAATAACTGGTTATGTCTCAGATTTGTTTGGAATAGAGGGGAAAAAAATAAAGCATGCCGTTCATGACCACCATGCTAGATGTTTGTGGCCATAAAAAGACGCAGATGTTTAACGGAGAAAAAAAAATGTAGCTGTGATGCAGCAAACTGCAGCAGGCCTTCATGGAAATCATCTCGGTTTAATCCGCTAACAGCACAACTTGTATTTGCGGCGCGTTTGTATTTTCAGAGCTGATTCTTCGTTTTATTGCGTTTCATTTCTGGGACCCAAAAGCAGCATTTGAGCATTTAGCTTGAGGCCCCTCTAGAGGCCAAAAGTAGTACTGCAACACAAAAAAAACCATCTTTTCAGTTTGAAGGTCCAACTTTAAACTTAAAGCAGGTTTATTGTCTGAATATATTACAAATAGAGACTCGAGTCAAAAACATTGTTTAATTTCAGTCCAGCAGTTTAACAAAAGAAGCTGTAATTTCTTTTTTTTTTCTTTTCTTTACTTTTCTCTTTTATGCACTTGCAACATAACTAGACAGATAATAAATAACAAAAAAAAATCTAACTAAATCCAAATCGAAATCCCACTAATATGGGTTTATGAAACCCTGAAGCGTGTATTTTTAGACATATTGCATAATAGCCTCATTTTTTGTTCAGTGCACTTTCCTCTGTCCCTGAAGCGCCGCATCAGACTAATTTATGCAGGTCTTCAGTTAAAAACTCCTATGGCTATTATCAGAGCTGATTGGTTTGTATGTTGCAGATGTGACTCTCTTGCTTGCTGTGTTTCCAGTGTGCCTAAGTGAACGGGCAAAAAAAGTACATTTTTGCCATTCCTGGTAAAACATGACACATAAATAAATGTGCTTCTTAATCTTTGGCGAGGTTTGACTTTTACAGTTCAGCGTCTGAATGTTTTCCAGAGCATCCTGCAACATTCTGTTCCCAGGAGCATCTGATTAGATGTTATGCATAATTCTATGAAATCATCTGTCTGATTTCAAGCGGCATTTTCTGGTGTGATTCGAGGGTTTTGTTTTGCAGTAAGACTCTCTCGGCCCTCAGCTCCCAGCTATTCTCTCCTCGTAAAGGAGTTTTTGCGGAGCTTTGAAGTGTGTTTGGGCAAGTGTGTTTCTGTGATTCCTTCTCCACAGTGATGCAAACCATCAGAGCGCTACATGTCTAAAAGGTGCAAGGCTTCTTGTTCTCCAGTGTAGTAAAAAACAATAAATAAAGAAAAACACAAAGATTATTTCTCAGTTTGACATCATTATCTCTATTTCTTGCACTTGCAAATATCTTTGTTTCAGTGCCATAAAGTCTTAATAAATGCGCTATATTGTGTTTCTTGACATCCAAACAGAAAGCGCTGGTGTTTTTGAGACCATCCCGAGCGGCTCCTCTCCAGAGGAGTCATTACCGTTGACATGTCTGGACGCATCTCAAGACTGTGTGGTCTTTGTATTTTTTATTTATTTTTTCTCTCTTATTCTTTAACAACAAGGTTTTTGCTTGGCTATCCGTCTGTCTGGTGCTCTAGTGCGTCTTCGTAAGATAAATGTCAGCAGTCATTAGTATTCTGAGTTGCCATGGTACACATAACAAGATATACAGATCATCCATAATTTTCTAATGCACACAGGCCAAAGTCGTGACCCAGTTTCCAACCACATGTGTGTTTTCAAAGGGCACCCCTGTCACACTGAAGACAAATGGCTGGACGCTGGGGAGGGGAGGGGCTCCGGCAAGGTTGCATTTGGGAGGAAAAGCAGCGAGGGACGGCAGCTTTGCAAAAATCATACCGTCCAGCTTGATAAGATGATCGTGTTAAATGCTTTTCCGCCGACGGATGGCGAGTTTTTGTCATTTTGACGCCATCACTGTGCAGCACCTTGCAGAAATATTTCTACTGCTGGTACATTTTTAATTTTACATTTCGGCACAACAAACTTTAATGTTTAATTTTTTTTTTCATACATGCAGTGTAAATAACAAGTTTGTCTCTAATTTACAATAAATTTCCTTATTTTACCAGATTTTTGTGGTAAAATTCTGGTAACCACCTGCTGCCGCCATTTTACCATAAATTAGAGACTTTTTTTTTTTTTTACAGTATGTATTTAATCCACTTTACATTCATTATTTTATTTAACCTTTAGTTACACCGGTTGTTTCCATGAGATCAAACATCTCATTTACAAGAGATGTTTTTATTTTATTTTGAAAAAAAAATTAAAATACAGAGTGACAACAATGCATTACTTTGTTTTGGCTTATCGCATGTTTTTAAAGTTTCTTCTAACACGACATGTGAATACTTTTGCTAAGATTTGTACCTGTATGTCCACACAGTGATGTAATACTGGTTTATTAGACAAAAACAAATATCCACATCCTGACAAAAACTGCTCAATTAAATAAGGAAGGATGTAATCTATCTGGACTGAAACATAAAGGTCAGCAACGCCGGAAAAGGGCAGGGATATTCAATGTGTCTTTAGATGTTTGGGTGATGGGGGGGGTTCCTTATAAGTAGTGTGATTAGAGTGGCTCTCACGCTGATCGTCAGCAGCACCACTGATTAGTTAATCAGAGATACTGGCCTCTGAAATCGCTAATGAACAGTGGCTCATATTAGACTCTTTATGAAAGGTCATTAACTCCTGAATTACGCTGAAGAAATCCCAAGTGAGCGAGCCTAATGTGGAGAAGAGAACGGCCCCTGCAGAAAAGCACGAGGAGTTGGACGGACCTGGCGAGTCCTGAAGCGTTGTGCTGCAGCGGAGGAGGAAGAGACGCGATGCTGACAGGAGACGACGGCATTCAAAACTGAAGGGTGTTTAGTCAGATTTAAGACTGTAATATTCCTTATCAATATATCTTCTAGATTTCTTTCTTCTTGTTTTCACATAATGAGATCGTTGATGATGAGTGATCCCAGGCACCTTTATACTATGTAAGGGCAGGATAATCATAGAAGAGGGAGAACCAGACAGCTACAGGAGCAGCTTCAGTCCACTAGAGATGATTTAGCTTGTTTTATCTGCAATAAGTACAAAACAACCAGTGTGTGCTCATCGTGTCTTTCAGATTGTTCAAATTTATAAATCTCATAAAATCAAAATTACTATACTATATATATATATATATATATATATATATATATATATATATATATATATATAAAAAATAAAAAAAAAAAAAAACATTATTTCCCCTGTTGTTTTTTTTT